ACCTACATTTTTCTAAAAATTCGTTCATAACAGTTTTATATGTATCTTTGATCATATATATAATCAATTTTTTATTAAATATATTACTTTAAAATATTTTTTTAATTTATTTAATAATTTATTTTCAAATAAATCTATTACATATTTCATATAAACCAAAAAAAAACATAACTGTTTTTCTTCATCATAATAACATATGTAATCCTTGTTTCACATATGACCATACTGAAGATTACATATTCTAGATGTTTATGTTTATCTATATTTTTAATATGTCAAATGATGTGACTATAATTTTCAAATTAATTGTGTAAACCTATCTCTTCACTCATATCTCTTAGGATGCATGAAAACGTGTAATTACAAGGAGGATCATTCTCGTATTGTGAATTGAATTTTTTTTCTAAATCCAAAAGTTTATGAAAAACATTTGGATTATTTAATTATTCCTCTATAAGATATATTTTTCCAAAGTTACCAATGAACGAACGCTAAATGTAACAACAATATACTTTACGTACATTCTAGTGATTTCTAGACAATCTATTAAAAAATAGACTATCTTCTTACATTCTCTTTGACCTTATTGTCATTGCTTCCTTATTTTTTTGCAGTAGTCTTTTATATGATTTAATATTCTTCATTATTAATTTCACTATCTCCACGATATGAAGGTAATGCTTGTATTTTTTTTTTTTTGATAATTTTGCAGAACAAAGGAATGATATCATATATATCTGTTCATACTTTAAAGAAAAAATATATTTGATTGCTTTTTAAAACATATATCATGTTCACAATGGGAATTATTTGTATTATAAAAATGTAAATGTACACAACTGTTCCTTTCTGTAAAGGTTATTCTATTTTAATATAAATAAAGTGAATGAAATAATGATGATTGTAGATATATATTTATTTATGTTTGAATTATAATATCACATAACATGCTGGTTTATTAATTATCAGCTAAAATAAAATGTAAAAAGAAAAAACATTATATCTAAGTTATATCTTATTTTTAATTTACTACAAAATAATATATTGTGCTATTACTGCCATAAGGAGCAAATAATTTAAAATTTTAATAAATGTATATAGAAATTATTGTTCTTCAAAATACGAAATTAATAAATTTCGATATAACTCTATTAATAATACTTATTTAAAAAAATAATTGTTATTTAGGTACGTAATAAATAGTAACATGCTTATGTCGTTACTCATTAGGTATTTTTTTCAGATAATAACACCTATAAAAAACTACTGCTGTTATAGTGACAATTATACTTTCAGTTGATAAATTATGTCTTCATTGTGCACAGTATAAAAAGTTAGTTTTGATTATTATACTACACTTTGCACAAGTTATTAACGTTAAATATTTTTTTACATTATTTAAAATTCGTACATTAAATATTTTTAAGATAAATAGAACAGAATAATGTAATATAAACTAATATACATGATTCCTGGTATATTAATTTTTTAAATAGTGCAGAAAAACTTTTTTCTCACAAAATAATATAAATTATATATGTGTCTATTACTCATTATTGAGGTGTTTCATGATAAAGCAAGGAATCTCCATATACTTAAAATTTTGGCACGATAAATTTTTTTTTGACATAATATTCTTTTTTTAACATGCCATATACAAGCATTTAAAGATTAACATTATTTTAAATGTATGTAAAGTAAATGTTTGTGACAAATCATTTGAAAGAAAAAAAAGACATTTTATTAGACTAATCATTATGACGATTTTATTGCAAAACAGTTTTATATTTTCAAAAGAACGTAATTTGCAAACTACAATGCCACAAAATTTCACTCGCTAATTAAATAGGAACACATAATCGGCTAGATATTTACAAAAATACGTTGTACTTTTTAATTGTTTCAATTTTAACCTATCATAAAACAGTTAATCATATTTTAAAAAAAAAAAATAAAACCCTGCATTTTTTTTTTTTTGTTAAAATTAGGCATCATGGAATATTCTCAATTATTCTGTTTATTAAACAGTACAACAGAACAATTGTAATAGAGCATTTTAAATGTATTAATGTAATGAATGTATAAATTAGCATATATTTTTAAAAGTCTATTTTGAAATAAACTGTTATCATAATTGAGGAATATAGAAAATGGAATTTTATTTTATTCACTGTGTATCATTGTATATGAGTAATTTGAAGTGTTATTTTATTTTAATTCTATTTCTTACATTCATAATGCAAAAAATATTTATGTTCCTCACATAATCATAAAATATTCTCCCATATTGAAGTAGGTAATTTTATTCAAATGCTCCTACAATTTAGACGTATTTATTTATACTTTAATATAACTTTTACTGCAATATTTATTAGTTCTTTTTTGTAATCATCCATTAATATATCTGCTGTTGAATTAACTATTATGAATATTAAATACTGAACGTGGATACACCATAATTATTTTAAATAAGAACTTTAATTCACAATTTGAAGAACAAGAAAATTACCTTAGTCTAGCATGCAGTGGCGCATTAGGTCCATTTCACAAAAACTTTTAAGAAGAAAAAAAATGTGCATTTTCAAATTATTCTAAAAGCTATATTATAACAATTAATATCCATGGAAAAGTACAATACTTTTTATAAAATTGTTTTTTGTGTCGCCAGTTATGAGAAAAAAATTTTAACTATATTATTAAATTTTTTACATGCTTTGCAGTGAAACAAACTATCCTTATGATGCCTCTCCATGTTGAGCAATGAATCAACGTATTTTAAATTAAAATACTTCATATTAAATAAGTGCTTGTAAAATTATATGTGACAAATTGGTCAATGCAATTAAAATGAATCCTGAAAGATTAACAATACACTCAATAACTAAAAAGACCATTAAATCTTAAAATACACAAGTACATGTCTATGACACTAATAACATATAAAGTGCTTAAATAAACAGTTATAAAACTAATGAGTTCGTGTATTGAATTAGTGGGATATAAACGCTAGCTTATTTATAACGCATAACCGTATAAAAAAATATAAAAAGAATGATTATATTTTTCTAAATATCCAGTGAATATGTATTAAAAATAAAATATTGTATTATTAATAATATACTATATGTACTTGAAGAGAGATTAAAAGTGAATATTACAGAAATTTTTATTCTTCCTCTATGCCTTTAACCTATTAATAGTAAAATAATAATTATCTTTTGAGAGGATTTTTGTGCGTAAACGTCCCATTATATGAATAATATGATGTACGACTAAATGGAATTATGTTAATAACTGATCAACCAACGAAATAAAAGTATAATCACTCTATTGAAATAGTGAATACTGTACATAACACTAATAATAAGCTATGCAAGTTAATAAGTTTTCAATAGATTATAAAAAACGATCAAATTCCGTGATATTATGAATTCTTTCCAAATAATAAAAAAATTAAAGAATTATCATAAAATTAAAGGGGTAAATGTTTAAGAACATACCAAAAAAAAATATATACATCCTAATATGAAGTTTCAGTAAAATACAAAATTACAAAAATAATTAATTTTATACATATATTTCCATGTACATTGTTCTCATATATGCAATAAAAAGGTTAAATTAATATTTTACAGATAACAGCGCGGTATGTTATTCTTTCAAGAAAAAATAGCTATCATTTAAATCTATTTATTAGAACGTAGATGCTTCAAGAAATTGTTAAAATAGTATAAAAATCTAACATTAACTACTTTTGTTTACTATTACGTATTTAAATAAATTCTATAATCATTCTATGTGATAAACATATAATATTTTTTTGACATTAATTCTAAAAAACATCAAAAACGTATTTCCGCATGTATATGTTAGTAATTTTCCAAAAATTATTTGCTCAATTTAAGTCTTTTTATACGCTTTTTTATATATATGGTTATTTCCTTTATTTTCATTCACATTATATCATTTTAATTTCAACGTATATGTGCAATTAATGATCCGTAGAAGAAAAAATATTGCGATATATAATTAGTAATAATATGCATAATAGGGAAAATGTTTCTAAAAAATTATATGGATTATGTATACCTAGGATAAATATAAATAGTTAAATTTTCAATCCACACCAATTCTAATTTACGGAAAGCATTAAATCATTGTTTTCAGCATAAAAATAAACTTATATATATATGTATACTGCATATATAATTTATTCTTTTTATTTAAATGCAACCTTATAAAATTCGAAATATATTGTAGTAATAACAATGTAACAGATATATAATTACTGAAATTTTTATCTGGTACCAGAATATAACATCATCACTTTTTAGTTATAATAACATTTAAAAAAAAAAATTATTAAACTAGAACACTAAAAAAAACGAGTTAGACAAATAATTATAAATAAAATTATATATGTATGTGTTGTCTTATGTTTAAAATAAAAGGAATATATGCGTGTATATGTAAACAACAACTTCTATAACAATTTTTAATTGATTTGTATTTGTTACTAAAAAGAACCCATTATATAATTATTATTTTATTTTTTTGTGTATACAGTAGATAAATATTATAAGTTGTTTGTGTTTTGTCTCTACTTAACTTTCAAAGCCTATATAATATGATATATGTATATTTATTGTACATTAATTTAATACACACTTATGTTACAAAATTTTAAGACTTATATTAGCAAATTAGATTATTTAACAATTATTCTTATTAATGAATATATAGGCAAATAATAAAAGTTCAATGGGCTCATGTATTCTCTTACATAACATAATATTGTATGTTAAAACAAATTAATTAAAAGAATTTCTGAGTATTATTATTTGTTCTTACTTATATTAGATAATATAATTTCATGTTACTATAATATTGAATTTTTTTTTTAATATGTATCTATTCATGCACTCAACGTATTTCCACAAATTACTTATATAAACGAAGGAAAAAGGAAGGAAGCCATAATGATAATTAATAAATAAGGAATGGCTTCGATACATATTAGTATTAGTGGTGACTATAGACATTCTAATTTTGTGGAGTGCAATGCAAAAAATGAAAAATATGAAGATGAATATTCTAAAAAAAGTTATAGTTTTGACGAACATAATTACACAGGTAAATGCACAGAATGCGACCAATTACAACAATATTTAGACCGAATAAAAGATGACTTAAAAAATTGTACCCATTATGGAAATATATTTCTTGATATACATGAAGGCGAAATAACAAATTTAATTAAAACATGTTATGCTAAGTGTACAAGCGCTGCGTCTCGTGCAATAGAAAACGTAAAATTAAGTTCGGAAATACAACCCTCCGAAAAGAAAAAAGAAAAAGAATTAAATACAGGAGAATTAAATCAAGAAGTCAAAGATTTACAAAAACAAAAAGACGAAGAACCTCTCAATAATGCGGTTGAAACGGAAGAAGAAATCGAAACAACAGATAATATAATGTCTAGTTCTTCTATGAAAGAAAATATTTTGAAAGAACCTTTATCTACCTCAGTTGATTCGTCAAACACACAATTATGTAACGTTGAATGTTCTCTTTCATTACCCTCAAACTATACTCACCAATCGAATACAGATCTTACATTGCAAGTAAACAATATAGATGGATGCCCTCCAAAAAGTAATTTAGCTAATTCTCAAGATGTTTGCGGGAAAACTGATGAAATACAAGGTAATGCATTTCATACTTTCGTTATAAGAAATTCAGATGGTGTATCTTTTCATGATCAAACTACTAATTTTGCATATCTCGATCATTGAGTTTCTGTTCAAACAGACACTCATGAGACAACCATGGCTGATGTAACTGTTAATCCAGGAACTGCTCCAGAATATTTTGCAGGTGCATATAATGATCCTACATCATGCGGCTCGATATACTCCACATATGCAAATTATATTGATATGAATAATAATTTTATGTCATATTTTATTTAAGATGTTCCTGATATAACTCATTAAACTAATATTTTTGAGAAAATATATTCATTTACTCTAGACATGTAATCTAATATACTTTTTTCCATTTCACTAGGTATTACAGAAGATAATATTGGTGATAGCTCTTCAGAAATAAGTACATTAATGGGGGAAAATGCTTCAGGAGTAAATGAAAGAACAATTGTTACAAGTACCACTGGAGATGGCTTTGTACTAGAAGGATCTATTGGCCATGACGAAGAAATATCATATAAAAGATATATCATAATGATTTTAATTCCCTTTTCAATTATAATATTATTCACACTTCTTTTAAAAGTAAACTCAAATTTCCTTCATTAAAAAGAATATTTGCATATTTTTAATTACTTTTGATAATTAAATTATATTTTTACCAAAAAAATTTTCAATGTAGTTCACCCCCTTGGGAATGTATTTTAGAAAGAAGAAAAGGAAGAAGCGAAAACATATGAGTGAAAAGTTACAAGATGTTTTATTAAAATCATCTAATACAAGAAAAAGACGCATCCATTTGACTTATAGCTCTTTTGAAACTTAATTATTATGATCAATAGAAAAAACAGAAAAGTGATAAAACATTATTGCTTTAACTATTAAATGAAATTTGAACTAATCAACATATTTATAAGGAACTTATAATTAATTTTTTTTTGTGTGTGCCTATTAAACTATAGTGGAAATTCTAACATATTATTTTGAAGCACTTCTTCTGTAACATAGATTAAAACATTGTAACCAGAGCAAAGGAATACGCAAAAGTGCATTACATTAATATGTTTGTCTTAGTTTATTCTAATAAATAAAATTATTTTAGAATGTTCCACACTAAAATGTATTTTATTTAGTACATATATGTATATTTCACTCATTTGAAATTTTAATTAACTTTTTTGGTGTTTGACATTTGATTTTTTTAGTCTAAAATTAAGATATAAAAATCCCTTTTTTGGTTATTTTAAAATTTGTATTCTAATTATTAAATTAAAATTGTGTATAAATATGTTATAACATTTATAAATATTTGCCTTTTTTCCATTTTTATGTTATTTTCAATGATCCCTATGCGTCTGAGAAAGTGTATTTTCAACTTTTAATTTATTATAAAATGAATATTATTTAAAAATTTTGTTATAATGTAAATAAAGTAACTAAACTAAAAATACAATAAACATACCATTAAAAAATGTTGCAATTAATTTAAAACTGATAAATACTAAATTAAAATATGTATATCTTTTTTTGAAAAATACCTGCATATATGGATTCCGACTAAATCTCCTTTTAAAATGTATTAAAAATTGTTAAAGCTGAAAGCAGTATTTCAACTAGTAAGGAAATACAATTAAAAAATATTTTACATATAACTTATATCAAAGAGTTAAATATGTTATAATAATAAGAATTTACTAATGTGCATATTTATTATCAATTGCTTAAAAATAACTACTAGTAAAAAGAGTATGTAGAATACATATTTCTCTAAACTCCATACCCGAATAAATATAATTATATTACAGTGTAGGAATATTTTTTCCTTTCAAAATTAATTTATTTGAAACATTAATAAATATAAGTGAAATTAAAAAAATATATGTGATAAAAATATGCAATCAACATGTAGTTATTATAAATTAGCAATTATATACCAAATATTATTAATCCAGTTATAAGTTATCTATGTTTTAAGAACAGACAAAACTTCTGAAAACATAGTTGATGTTTTGTTATGTGAACGTTCTGAAAATAAAAAATTAAATTACGTAATCATCTTTTTTACATATAAATACTTGAATCAGTATGATATAATATGTTATTTAATATTACGCAATAGTACTACAATTTCATGTACTTAATTGCGAGTATGTATATATTATATAAATTTTTTTTTTGAATATAGATAATAAAATATATTTCATACATAACAATATTATATACTTTTATACTTAATTATGTAAAGAAAGTTATTGTTTGATCAATAATATTTATGTATTTCCCTGTACCATAAGAGTTATAAAGGTATTTATAAACAAATGACACTTCATCAAGAAATAATGAATCATTATAATAACTTAAAAAATAAAATATATAAACAATTTTTAAATAATAATTTCACTTTTACCGAATTTCAATGTAATATATCCAACATTATAATCAAACGAAAGATGGGTATTTCAATACTTTATCATTAATATCTAAGCAAATGTATAATAAATTATTGAAGATAACACAATTGAAATTCTAGTGATAAATGTGCTAAATAAATTTCTTCCAATTTATATTTTTTTATTCAAGGGAAATAACATAATTACAATTTTTTCATTGACGATTATAGTTATTGCGGATGAAGAACAGCAGAAGTATTGATTTATGTATAACATTCTAAAGGAGATTATTTTATTTATATACGCCCTTAATAATAATATTCTTTATATCATAAAAGGATATTATTTTGAAAAAACTATATATATATATCTATATGTTTTATTCATTTAGCATATATTTACTCTATTTGGTCATTTCATATATAACGAAATAAATAAGGAAAAATATGTGCTTAAATATTTCCAGAGTAAAACGTTGAATATCTTAATTTCATTCGTCCAGAATCAGTTAATATAAATAAAAATTTTAGGAATAATAATATACATTAAGAACCATGATAAAAGACAATTCTAAAAATTAAAATAAAATTAAAGGTCATATAAAACAAATGCATTTAAAAATGATAAATGATGGTAATATTTATTATTTTGTTTTATAATAAAAAAATAAAATGTAAAAACATATCCGTTTTTTAGAAGATATATGTTTTATTATATAAAATTTTTGTATTTTTTGTGTACTAACACTAACATAAAGTACTTTTATATTTCTTATTATTATAGTGTGGATTATTTATTATATGAAAAAGTTATTTGCTATTGGAAAAAAATGTATATATTATGCATTGTAATGTGCTCACTTATGTATGTACTAATTTTTGTTTAAGAATCATATTCCTGGTTATCATTACTCAAAGCGTTTTTATAAATAAAAGTGAGCTATTAACGTCGATATCTTTATTTTATATTGTAATATATTAAAAAATATGTTAATGAATACAATATTATTGATAACTTCATAAAGGAGCAATTAATATTACAATAAAAACTAATTTATATTTATTTGATATTTTGGCCAATTAATTAATGTACAGCCTACGTATATACACATACAAGATATTTTTTTCCAAATTATATATATAAACATTTTACAATATATTACTTATTAGAATTACAATATCAAAATTTTAAAGCCTTTTTGCTCATATATAATAAGAAATACATTTATTTTTAATAATAATAATGTATATTATTTTACTTACATACATCGAGAATAAATTGTTTGTAATAATGTTTTTGTAATATAAAAAAGATATATTTATGGTTTATTTATAAGAACACCGTTAGTATTTTCAGTATGCTATATGCCTTCATATTTCTGTTTTATTATGCTTTATCCTCATGTTTTATGTGCATAAATATTTTACTGGTCATTCATGAATATTTAATGTAATGCAATAGCATTGGTTACCTTTCATTAATTCAAAAGGCAAAAAAGATATAAACCACTAAAAATAGATCTATTACACTAAATATATAATTATAAAAATACAAAGGTCTAATGTAAAATTAAAACTGTGAATATATGCTTCTTGATGAAATTAAATTTATTTAAAAAGATAAAAATATAACATCCTCAACATGGTAGATATAAAATGTTAATAAAGAAGGTGTTCAAATTATTATAATAAAAGATTATATTCTGTAAATATATACAGTGAAAATTATATTAATAAATAAGATGTTATTATTATTAAATAAGTTAATATAAAAAAAATATATTAAACCTCTCTTAATAGTGTAACGTATATTTATATATATATTGGAAAACATATTTTTTATAAGTAATATAGAAAACATAAATATAATTTTTTTTTTAACTTAAAGAACGTAAACAAATTAAAATATAATTTGATTAATATTTTAATAATGCAGTTTATATAATTATCTATTATAATAATCGCTTTTTATATTATTAAAGAAGCCATGGATTAAATGTCAATGAATACTAATTATAATAAAATTGAATCAAATAAAAGATTAGCTCATAAAAAATATCTTTTAGTAAAATATTGTAATTATAAGAGAACTACATTAAACTATAATATAAATATTATGAATTAATTATATATATACATAATAATACCTTGTCATACTCCTTTAAAGATATCATGTACATATATATTATGTTTTTTTGTATATATGAGGAAACGTTTTAACACTCATAAAATAATAAAAATTATTTAATAAAATATATTTATTATGTTTAATTTTTCTATTATACAATATACTAAAAACTACTGAAATATAAATTTTACCTCTTAGACTTGTTACCTGCAAATTTAAAAGTTAAGTAACTTATCTTTTATAATTATATATATTTTGTAAAAGAAAAGAAAAATATCATTTGTAAAATAAACATTATATCTATTAAAATAATTTATTATCATACTATTACTTACCAAATATATTTAATTTTATATAGATAATCATATATGTTTTTAACATATTGTAGTGTTTTATTCCCAAGAATTTAAATGCGTCGCTATATAAACATCGACTATAAGGAAAGATGTAATATATATAATTCAAAAAAAATAAAATAAAAAATTGAAGTGTTTCTTATCAATTTTTAGAATAAATCTTACATACATATATATACAATAATATATAGGAAGACGAATAATATATAGATAAACATGTGATAGTATTAAGCGCACAAGAATGGTAGCGTTAGGAGATTGTATAACATAATAAAAGTATTTTCATATTTTTAAATGCCAATTATTGTTTTAATTATATAATAATATAGAATATTACTATTTAGAATATTATTTTGATGTAATTGTGATTATTTTTATTACTATCAAGTGATCTAGTTACATTTTCTCAGTTTATCATATATATTGCAATATTATTTATTCGTTATCCTTAAAAGAGCACTATGAAATATTTATTCAAATTAAATTTTTACTGAATAAAAAGCATAGACTCTGTCTTATTAAATAATATTTTTCGTGCTCTTAATTTTGCAGAATCTTATTTTTTTCATTTAATTTTTAAATGCAGTATATATAATGAATTCTAGGTCATTTAATATTGTAGGTTTGTGTATTCGTATATTATAATTATAATTGTTTTTAAAATTATATACTACTTTAGAAATAAAATTTATGTTTATTACAATCACATTTTCATTTGTGTTTTCGTATACTGTAACATTTTTTTCTTTATAGTATATCCACGTAAATTCATTTGACAATCATAATTCCAGGTTTCAGAATGTAAATTCTGATACTACTAGAAAAAATGATTGGACGAACTATTGCAGTTCTATTCTACAGAAATATGATAAAATTTTTAATCAAAATTTTTATTCTATTTGTCTCAAAGTTCTATATTATTTAAAACAGTTAAAGGAAACTAATGAGGAATTGGATAAACATCTAGGTTGTACATACATTTATTATTGGCTATATAACGAACGTATTAATAATGGATATAAATATGATTGTCAAATACTTTATGACGATTTGCTCAAGGTGTATAAAGATAATGTCAATGAAGACCCTATATGCTATTCTTATAATGCAAAAATTTCTCAAGATGAATTAGAAAAATTCAAAGATATATATGATATGAATAAAATATTAAATAATTTAATAAATGAAAATGGAAAATGTTCTAATATAAATAAATGTAATTGCGCAAAGGAAGGTTTTGACATATATATGCGTCACAAGTATACATGTGAATCAAACATTAATCCAGATTTTTGTAATGCTTTAAAAAATATTAGAGATAGATATAACGAACAAATGAAAATTGAAAAATGTAATGAAGCACAAAATGAATTTCTACCAATTTTCGAAACGAATAACAGAACCTTTTCTCCTTCAATTCCAATTTTTATAATATTGGCAATGTCAATTTTTTTATTTAATGTTTATAAGGTTAATTAAAACCTTGTTCATATAAAATAATGCCGTAAATTTATTTTTCTAAAATATTCAAAATTAAGATAAATTAACAAAAATATCCTTTTACTAAATATTTTTTTTTTCATTATCAATTAGTTCACCCCTTGTGAATCGTTTATTCGTCGTGCTATAAAAAGGAAAAGAGACATATACAATAACTCAGATGAGGAACACAATTTAATGCAAAATTATGAAATGTGCAACAGCGTTCCAAGAAATAAGAGGTATAACGTATTGTATAATTCTTCTTAAGTTCACAATTAAAAATATATTTGAAAAAAAACTAATTCGTGTAATGTATATATATAAATGGTTGTAAACAGTAAGCATGATGAACAACCCTATTACAGACATTATATAAAAGTGGAATAATTCATTTAAGTAAAAAAAAAATGAATATTAATTTTTGTTAATTCAATGAGATAAAATTTCAAAATTTTACTATTACTTTTAACCTCAGGCAAATTAAGAAATATGTAATATAATTAAATAATCCTTCATTGTTATTCCATTTTTCATATAAAATATTTGAAGTTAAATTATCTAAGCCTGTATTCTAAAATCTATTGTGCAAATTAAAAAATATATTAAATTAAATATTCATTTTAGAGAAAAATCTAATCTCATATATTTTGAAAAAATATACAATATTATTATACATTAATATAAAAAGTACATGTAATAACAAATAAAAATGTATTCTTATACTCATATTATTCATTTTTTTACATTTTGGAACTATGAAAAATAGGATATACCTAAGAATTTTTTTCAAATGTACATATTAGAATGCATGTATGTTAAAAAAATTATCGTATGATGTTTTACTACCTTTATTTGTATTTATTAAATATTAATAATTAATATTCATGTGTTAAATAAGATATCCATTTAGGAGATATTAATGTCTCATATTTTTATTTTGCGTATTAACTATAGAGATTAATTATACTTTTATATGTTTTGCTCTTATATTGTGGAATAAATTTACTAAATCATTATCGTAATATAACATTTCATAAAAATGAGTTAACCATAATTATTCTAAATTATTCAACTTGATTGAAAATATTTATTTACATACACCATTTTTCTTATCTATTTTATTAACTTACAAACATTTTCATTATATAAAAGTAGAGTATATATATTCTTGCATGTCGTATTATTTTCATACTATTCATGTATAACACAAAAATTCAAAGTATTATGCGCTATTTTTAGAGTATTTTTGCAATTATCATATAAAACAAATACGTATTTTATAATTATATATACACTTCCTTACTATTTATATACTTTTTCTGTTTTATTTTTCAAAAATATTAAATCATTTCATGATTAGAGGTTTAATACCGTATAAAAATTTTCTTTCATAAAATGATGATATATATAATGAGACATTTTCTAATAAAATTGCGAATAAAAATGATGCAAGAAATATTTATTTTAATCAATTGATAAATGTTTTTTATGTTGTTTCATATTATTGTTCTGTTTCTCAAATAACTCCCTAAACTGCATATCAATTTTCCATGTATTTTTAATGTTCATTTAAATAGTTATTTTTTAATTTAACAATTACTTATTTATTAATATGAATATTAATGTTCAAATTATTGTTCATATAAATCTCCTAATATTAGTTCAAGTTACGAGCCTATAATTCTCTTAAAGTGGAATGTTAAAAATAATACTTTTTGTTACCTTCATACGAAGTACGTTAAAGGAAATAACATAGATATGAGAAGAAAAATATAAGAAATGAAAACTAAAAATTTAAAATAAAATGATTAAACTAAATTTTATATAAAATTATTTCAAAATTGTTTTAACTATTTCCTTTTTCAAAAAAATATATATCTATATATGAAATTTTGTTTTAATTTTTTGATTATTACAATTGGTTAAAATATGAAATAATGTACTATACATATATAAATAAATGAAATACGATAATAATATCAAAAAAATACTATAAAAAAGGGAATATGTCGTAAAAAAGAAAAATAATCTTTTAATTTTTTTCAAATTATTATATATAATTATTAGAATGTTTATTATAGAGATATAAAAATACATTCACGCATCTTACATATTTCAATCCTCTATTTATAATTATATTATATTTATA